TTTTGTTTTCTTCTTGGTCATAAATTTCTTGATTTCATACCTATGAAATTTCCTCCTTTCACTGGGAGTGTCCCTTTCGCGTCCATTCCTATGTCTTATAGGGCTTCTTTTGTTTTTTTGAAGAGAAAGGCAATAAAGAAGAATCCCCTCCTTAACTAAAACATTCAAAGTAAAATCCCATTGGGTTTCAAGATATATTCTAAATGCACATAGAAGGAAAAAAAGTTTAAACTCAACATTTGTTAGTACTGAAAGCATCAACTATTAGCTATATAGTTTGATGGTAAAATTATGTGTTCTTAATTATAAATTTAAGATTAAATCTTTAATCTCTATAAAAAAAAAAATACTGAAAACATTATTTTTATCCAACCTAGAAGGCCAAAAAACAAAACATTATTTCAACAATCTTTAACTTTTCCCCAATCTCACTTTTTCATTAATTCTATCAAGTATGATAGCCCTGATGATCCACAAAGAAAGAGCTCCCTCTACTTGGGAGATAATTAGAAAATGTTTCAACAAGGATTAGGAAAATTGTGTACAATTAAAGCAAATTTACAAAAAGTACAAGTTATGAATTTGATTGCATGTTTATTTGTTCTAATTTTTGAAAAAAAAATTCTGCAAAAGCCAAAATTAGACTAATAAAGGCAAATTTTCAAGGGCATAACCCTAATTCTCAAATTTATCTCAAATTCTCAATTAAACTTTTAAATTTTTATTAAAGTAAATAAACCCAAAAACTTATTGATTTGGACAATTTAACCTATTCTTTATAACATACTTAATATTTGTTTATATCTTATTTATATAGATAAAATTAATATCCACAACATAAATAATAACATATCAATACTTTATTACGACATCTCCTAAAAGGCTTAAAGGGCTTAAAATGTTGGTTTTGATGGTAGGCCACCCGGTAAGATTGTGTGTTTTAACGGCCTATTAAGGCACATAAGCCTGTGTTTCAGATTTTGGTCTGATGGACCAACCACCTGGAGTATTGGGCTTCGAGAAAGTGGCCCAAATAGGGTCCTACACTATTTTATGTTGTTCCCTGGCCCATGAGCGTGGAAGTTTGTAGTCCTCCAGGCCCTTAACTTCTTCACCAATGATTTTGCCCAATTCATGGGCCTTAACAAGGACCAAATCAATTATACCTAATCTAAAACATGTCACAAGTAAAGACTAAAGAGTTCCTTGTTTGATCGTTCAAAGTAATGTCATGTCTAATGCTCCAATGCCATTGTCTCTTTCCATATTGATAATGACCTTAGTACAACACGATGATACCAACTTGAGAAAGAGATGAAACTTGCAATATAACAATTCCAAAATGCCTTTTTAACTTCTATAATTCTCTTTTAATTACAAAACCTTAATTTAGCGTTAAGTCAAAAAAGTTTGAACTTTTGTTACATTTATGGCCTACTTTGTGTTGATTTTTGCAGCATAAGAAATTTAGGGGCTTACTTACTACACAAATAATAATAATAATCATAATAACGATAACAATTTAACTGTTGGTATTGAGGGAATTAAAGGGCTTAATTTTTTTTTTTCCAAAAGAGAGAATATCTAAATGTAGACTTTATCATTGGAAGATGGTTTTACTACCAACCAAATTATTAGTAATGTTTTCTTGGAAAAAAATTATTAAAATTAGATTAGTTTGAATTATAAAATTTTAAAATCGATATAATTAGTTTAGCTTATAATTTTATCTTTAAACCGTCTAAATCGTCCGATTATAAAATAAAATCCAATTATAAGATAATTTAATTAAATAATTTAATTTTTTTTTGTAGTATCTTAAATTTACTTTGGGAAAATCTTGTACAATTTTCTCAAGTCATTGATGGTCCTTGGTTAGCCATCGGTGACTTTAATGATGTGACTAGTCAGTCAAAGAAATTTGGTGGATCCCCTGTCCCCTTTTATAGAATGAAGGCTTATATCAATTGTATGAACTCTTGCAATCTCATTAATCTAGGTTTTAATGGACCTAAGTTTACTTGGGTCAATATGAGGAATGATGGTATCATTAGGGAAAGACTTGATAAAGCATGGTGTAATCCTGCTTAGAAAGTCATGTTTCCAGAGGCATTGATTCACCATCTTCCTAGATTATCATCTGATCATTGCCCCATACTCCTTAACCTAGATCTTGTTCATCCTTTTGTCGGCAATAAGCCTTTCAGATTGAAGAAGTTTTGGATTGAACATCATTCCTTTCGTGATCTTGTTACTACTAATTGGCTTAATAATAATCAACCCTTTTTGGATTGTTCGGAACACTTCAAAGTAGCTATTCGGTCTTGGAGCAGATTTACCTTTGATGATTTCCATAAAAAGAAGAAAGAAATTATAGCTCGTATTATAGGTATTCAATGCTTCCTACAATTTATCAATATAAATATTTTAAAGGTTATTATTCTCCCTTTCCTCTGGCTTCTTTTTTTTTTTTTTTTTTTTCCTTTGGGTTTGCATGAACCTAGGTGCGGGGTTCGTCGCGAACCCAGTGCCTGGTTTGTCTTGAACCCAAGCGTTGGGTTCATCTCGAACCCAAGTGTGGGGTTTGTCATGAACCCAGGCGTTGGGTTCATCTCGGAACCCAAGCGTGGGGTTCACTGTGAACCCAGCTCTTGGATTCGTCTCCTAATTGAAGATGACGGATTTTTGGTTTAAGGAGAAAGAAGAGGAGGAAGAACATGGTAAAGATTTTCAATTTGTTTCTCTGATTGGATGAGGAAGAAGATGGTTAAGAAGACGAAGAAGAAACAGATGTGCTTGGGCTACTTGGTAATGGTGAGTGATGATCTAAATTGAAACCTATATATAGTGGTTTTTTTGTAAATAAAAAGAAGTGTGAGGATAAAATAGGGAGAATGAGTAAATTTCATTAAAATGAGAAGTAAAAGTTCTCACAAAAGCACAAATTTCATGCTTTTGAAAATCACATTAGAATGGAAAAAGATCAGCTTGTGAGAAGGACTTGTATGTTTTATAAACTGTGATTTGTGGTGCAGCTGGAGCTTTTAGACTCGAAAAACACTCCTCACTCATCAACTGCACCAAACATGCACTTAACTTGATATAATTGATAATTTAATTTAAAAATATACATAATATAAATTATTTAATAAGAGATAACTCAATATCAGGGTCAATGCTCGTCACCATCTAATGATCTCACGACCGCAACTTGATCGTAATCCGCGGGTTTGGTGTGGTTCATAATCCAACCCAAAAAATGTGGATTCCAGATTCCATCATCCATTCGAATTTGATCTAAATTGAACCAATTTTTTAATGGATCCAATCCAATCCATGATCACCAGATTGGATTGGTTTTGTCCACACGGAACCATTTTATTCCCTCCCTT